TAGGGTTAGGGTAGTCGTGGTAGGTACGGACTACCACTTCGTCGTACCTAACCTTAACGTTACGTCACTCCCACTTAATTACCTATATATATATATATATATATATATATATATATATATGATTGTGACCTCCTTATATAAAAAATAAATGTTCTCATTGTATACATTCCCTTTTTATTAATTCAAAAAAAATAGTACCCCACATTGAAGTTGGCATAACCCATTAGATTTAGAAAGAACTTTTTCCACCCATCACCTGTATCGTTGTGTACTCTTGAAAGAAAAGTTGAATTTGTGCATGAGTTTACATGAGTGCACTAAGAGAAATTAAGAAATATCCCATATACGAGACTGTAAACAATCAAAGTAAGGCGCACCTTCAAAAGTGTTGGAAAATGTGTTTTCAATACTGGAAATTTATGTGATAGCCTTAAAATATATTTTCATACCTAATTATAAAATTTAAAGTTTAAAAAATAGTGTAAATCGAGTAGATCTATGTAAACTTGAGAATATTAAAAGTAGATGACACAAAAATGCATTACAATAGATCTACTATTTCCAAAACTAAAAATCCATTTTTTTCTCATGTCCATACCTCTTGATGTCAAGATGGTCAATTTGAGAATATGTGGGTATCAAAACAACCTCTTCTAATGACATTTTTGAGTTGGGCTCTAATTTGATTGTTTAGAGCCTCGGCTCTATATAAACTCCTTCCAAAAGGAAAATTTACTTGTATCGCTTGAATTAATATTTAAAGGCAAAAATTTATATAGAGCCTAGGTTAACAATTAAATTCGAGCCTACCTCAAAACTTTCAATAGAAGAGGTTGTTTTGATGCTCAGATATCATCAAATTGATCATCTCCACATCAAGATGCGTGGACATGAGAAAAAAAAATGGATTTCAAGTTTTGGAAATAGTGTATATCTTGTAACGCATTTTTGAACCATCAATTTTTAAGATTTTCAAAATTTCATAGATCTGCTAGATCTACACTATTTTTGAAGCTTTAAATTTTATAACTAAAGATGAAAATCTAATTTAAGGCTATCACAAAACTTTCCAGTATTGAAACCATATTTCTCGATACTATTTGAATGTAGGCTCTAATTTGATTGTTTATAGCCTCGGCTCTATACAAACCTCAACCATATTTAAATGATCCTCCTTAATAGGTGCGTCTTTATGCTTGACACAGTTTTAATGAGTCTTAGGACTTGCATGTAGATATACATCCCCTTTTTATGATATATTTTTGATATAGATTTTAGACCTAATGTTTTAGATATATATAGTCTCTAACTTGAAGATCATAATGTATAAAAATAGTAACTATTAACAAATAAAATATAATTTTTTAGGGATTGTATACAATAAGACCATTTACCTTTTAACATAAAGAGGTCACAATTACCTATTAAGCATTCAATGTGCAATTTGATAGTTTGGGTGTGTCACAAGGATTGAGAAAATTGCATTTGAAGTTTGAGCTCGGTCAATAGAATAAATGCAGCCATCTAATTTCACATCTAATGAACAAGATTAAGTGTGACCACCTCGTACCAAGGATAAATGATGTCATTTTTATGCATTTTTTATTTTGCAAAAAAAATTTGAGCCATTGATTTTGGCATATTTTTCTAGGGCAAGCTTTCTATGCTTCCCTTATAACATAAAACTTATATACTTCCCCTTATCCAACCGTCCATCCTGAATGGAGGGCTAAGATTGCCCCAATCATAATGTTACGTCTCTACACTATTTTATTTTTAATTTTTTTCTATAAACTAGTTTGGCACCAAATTTTGTACGTCCAATCCTCTATTAAATTGTCACTAGTGAAAAATATAAAAACAATATTTTCAATAAAAACATAACCAAAATACCCCTGAAAATTTCAAGGGATATTTTGGTTATTATATTTTATAGAAATATTATTTTTAATATTTTTTATAAGTGCATCCCAATAAGAAGATGACACGTACCAAATTTTATATTCATACAATTTGTATAAAAAAAATAAAAATAAACTAATTTGAGACATCAGATCTAATATCAAATAGTGAGTGGCTCTTTTGATCAAAATTGAAAAGCTGGATAGCAGGGAAAGCATAAATCTTCTATGCCGAAGGAAAAGTATAGAAACCTTTCCCTTTTTTTTAAAAAAACCTTTAACTCCGCAGCTATTTTTAAGATGGATGTATGATGTAGTCTTTAAAATGGATGTATGATGTAGTTATGCCTTTCCCAATGCATAAACCACTTTTCCTTTAATGTTTACTAGCGAGCTACATGTGTTTGGTGCATGTAATCTAGAAATATCAAAATTAATTATCGTTGTTGTATAAATTAAATGTGCTTAAAATTACATGATTATAATTATTTGTGAAAGTTTGATGAAAAACAAAAGAAAAGAAAAACTCAAATATCACACGTTGCTTTAAAATTTTACAACTTTTTTGTGCTAAATTGTTAATTACATATACGTGAATAGTTTTAGAACAATAATATATTTTTTCTTTTCTTTGAATTATGATCACATGTATGTTTTTTGAATATAGAGATAATTACTTCAACTAAAAAATATTAACAAAATTGATTATGACATGAAAGATTATTTCACAAACATGTTTAATTTTTGCTAAGTGCATAATTTGGTGAGCAATGGACACTTGTATCACTCTTTTACTATTTCAGATGATGTAATTTTATTTTAGTATATCAATAAAATGCTTAAATTTTGGTAAAAAAAAATAAAAACTTGTACCTATCTATATTTTTACATATCTCTGTATACAAAAATAACTACAAATATTTTATAATTAAAAAGTGGGAGATGTGAGGTATTTAGGGGTTCATAAGTCAAATGTTAGTTTTTTTTTTTTGTGTTTGTTTTAATGTTAGGTCTTATGTTATGTTTTGGTAGAAGTCCTTCGAAATGTAATAAAATTTCTTTTATAACATTATAAGAGAAACAATAACATAAAAATACCCTAGTTTTTTTATTTTTTTAGTTTTATTTGTCAAATTGTCTCTACTATGGACTTTGAAGGTTGGAAGTTGGGGTAATTTCAAAACAATAAAAAATAACAAAGTATAATTTTTGGGAGGAATAATTTTTGCACATATATCTATTATTTTTAATATTATTACAATTTTACCTAAATTTTTTCGGTACTTAACACTTTACTCATTTTATATGCGCTATTACAATATTTTATCAACATTGTAAAAATTGACGGAATTGCCGTTTTGAGATTTTCAATATCTAATATTTATATTTGCACAAATTAACTGAAATTGAATTTTGTTTTTTTCGGATTCTCAATATCCAAAAGTCTTATATTTCGGATTTTCAAAATTGATTTTAAAATTTGAAGATGTTCAACATCCAAAGCTCCCCTCAACAATTTTTTATTTGATAATATTTGAAAATTACATTTTTGAACTTTCAAAATCCAAAAATTATGAATTTTGGATTTCCAAAAACCAAAAATGGCTAAAATCCAAAAACTACAATTTTTGGATATTTTAAAGTTCGAAATTCCATTTTTAGTGTCCCAACATTTTTGGATACTGAAAATCCGAAATTCACATTTTTTGATTTTTCGAATCCAAAGATTGCAAATTTGGATATTGAAAATATTATTTTTTTGAAGAAAAGAAGTTTAAAAAATGACTAACTATCAAGATCCAAAAATCCACAATTTTAAATCTTAAAGATCCATTTTTTTTTATCATAAAGATCCGAAAATAGAGCAATATGGGCGAAAAAAAAAAAAAAAAAAAAAAAAAAAAAACGAAGGCTCCAAAGAAGAGGTATACAATTCTCTTCTTTTAAACGACCCTCGTGTTACTTACTCGAGGGGCACAGTGGTCATTTGAAGCCTCAAGAAGGCTTGCTTGATATTTCTTACAAATACAGGGGTATTTATGGAGTTTCTCTCTTCTATTCCCTTCTCTCTATCTCAGTAGGCTCTCACTCTTACAATTCCCGAGAATTGCTTGTCTTTTCTCGCACTAATCCAAACGGCTTTAATTTGAATTCTGGTTTGAGATCCTCCGGAGTATTTGCCCCTATGTATTTATAAGTATTTTCTGATACGGTTAGTCTTCAAGTTTTCAAAGGAGACTTTCATTCCATTTTCTGAGCTTTGGGTTTGAGATCATTCATCGCAAAGGTCTTTTTCCACCCTCTTCTCTATGAGAATGTATTTTTTGACATATCGGTTGGATTTAGTGGCCCCCCAATTCAAATTTACTGTGTCTTTTTTCTTGTTTTGACTTATTCTTTGGTTTATTTGGCCTGATGGTTCTTGTTTTTATGTGTTTTTTATGATGGGTCTTTCTGTTTCAGGGCATTCAGGTCAGATATTCATATCTGTAAGTATTTAGCGTTTTGATACTTTTAGTGTAATTTTAGCTGTTTTAACATCGTTTTGGTATCATTGTTGCTTTTTGTGTTCTTTCTCAGATGCATCTGAGTTTTGACCTTTTTTAGTTTTGATAATTTTGGTGATCTGTGCGTATGGGTCGTCTTTTAACGGGTTATTGTGCTTACCACAATGGTAATGATGGTAATTTGGGTTTTATTTTTTTGCTTTTTGAGTGTATGTAGTTTGGTTTATTTTCTATTCTGGTTTTTTTTTTGGGCTTTTTTTCTGATCAATATTGTTTGAAGATTCATCATGTAATGCACAGGAAAGATACACATGCAAACAATTCATGTTCGAGTTTCGCAGAGGGTAATGCATGTATAGCTAAGAATGTGACTGATATTTTTATAGTGTAGATTGGCAATTATATTGGTTGTTTAGCTATTGGAATTAGGGCAAAAATAGTCGATGTCATGTAGAAATGTGGACTGAAAACAACCCCCTATGTTGGCATATCGAGTCGAGAGTCATCGAAGAAGTGGAGTTTGGAGGAGAGCTAAAGTTTTAAAATTTTTCATTTATGTGGGTTTTTGCTGTTGGTTCATTGGAAAGTGGGAATGTCTTGATAGATGTAATCTTTTAGCAGGTACTTGGTGTGTATTATTTCTTGCCAATTAAATCGCCTAGACAGTGGTATAGGAGCTGATTCATCAACTTCTCTGATTTGAGACATTACTGTTGGCGTATTGTTGCACAAAAAATTAGGTTGTGATAGGTTATGGTCCCTCAATATGGTTGCTGAATTTCTGGCCAAATAAAGCTAGAGATGGGGCAATCCGCCAAGATGTGACGTTGAAGGAGAACAAACCGTAAGCTAAAATGAGGCTTCACCAACTCCATGCTTTTGTAGCATATATGAATTTGGAAGAAGTGATGTGGAGT